TAAGAAGCCAACTCTCTCTGATTGCTTGGAGGGGGCATTTGAGCCTGAAAAGGATCTCACTTCTGCTATAGCATGGGGCTCACAGTGGCTGGTGAGCTTTAATTCAGATAAAACTCAATTTTTTTCAGCCAATCATTATTGAAATAATTTAGACCTTATATTTATGAACGGTAATGTACTCGATGAGTCATCTACCCTTCATCTTCTAGGATTAACTCTTACTTTTGATCTTTCTTGGAAACCATATATCAAATCTGTTGCAAAATTAGCATCTGCTAAAGAAAAAATCTGCTAAATTCTATTCTCTATCTCTATAAATCTCAAATCCGGCCTTGTATGGAATACTGTTGCCATATCTGGGGCGGATTTTCTAATGATGCCCTTTCTCTTTTAGACAAGGTGCAAAAAAGCATTGTAAACATAGTTGGACCTGCTCTTGCAACCAGCCTTCAACCATTATCACATCCACTTTGTTGCTTCTCTTTCTCTTTTCTACAAATACTATAATAAGCACTGCTCTAAAGATCTAGCATCTTGTGCCATCTGCTAAAATTCATTCTCCTGTTACTCTTCATTCAATCAAGTCTCATTCTTTTTCCTAAGTGCTGCAAAAACTGTTACTCCTCTAGTTTTTTCCTCAAACATCAGTTCTTTGCAATTCGCCTCCTTCATCTGCTTTCCTGATTCATAAAATTTGCAATCTTTTAAGTTGTCTGTCAATCGTTATCTTGCTCTACAATTTTCATTTTTTCTCTTCCAGTAACTTCCAACACTAATTAGTGGTTGCTGGCCACCTTGTTAGAAGCGAAGATATTTAATATATATATATATATATATATATATATATATATATATATATATATATATTTATTGATAAATGTTGTATACTGATGGAAATACAACTCTTGTCGGTTTAAGAGTGATCAATATCTTTTTTTAAAAAAGATAGATCAAATTATATTAAAATAATTTAAATGAAAAAAATACAACTTTATAATGGAATTAAAAGTTTCATGCCATTCGGCAATCATCAGCCATATTATTCAAATAAAAAATTAAAACCGTTATAAAAAATACAAATTTAGCGTTGCAACGGCATCTGATGTCAATTATACGTGATCCGATATTTGCTAATTGCTGGAATCAAAGTTAGATAGTAAAATTTTTTTCTTATGCCTACAAGCAAAAACCAATTCACTTTTTTTTTTAAGTAGCAGTCGACTATCAAAACTCATAATAAAATACTTTACATTGATGCAAAGGTTACACTTTTTTGTAGATGGGTTAAAAGATTGGCATCTTTAATTATGTTCCACTTAATTATAGGCATGTTACCCGCGTCTTTAAGTTTCCAGATTTCCTTGGAAAGTTCTGTATCATTCCTATACCTGGTTGCATTAAATCATTTAAGATGGTTTGCAAATCTGAGCTTGAATGTGTTTTCACTAATTTCGATGTAGGATTTTTTGGTAAGACTGGTATTAGGTGATTCTATAGTGGCTTTATATACAACATTTTTTGATAGACATTGATTATTTAACGGGCATGTGGTTTTATTAATGCTGTTGCAGTTTATATCATTATCGGTAAGTTTGTTGCGCAAAATTTGTTGTTGTGTGAATTAATTATTGATCGAATATTTGGCATGCAGCTGTAACTAATCTTTATTGTGTTTCTGTTGAATATTTTGTGGAGCTTATAATGTAATGGAAAATGCAAGTCAATTTAGTTTAAGAAAAGATGTCCAATTTTTGTTATCACATTTTTACTGTAAGGAGGGTTAAACCATATAATATTTTTTTTTCGTTTATTAGTAATAGAAGAATTTAGATTTGAATGATATTGGAGAATGGTGTGAAATCCAGACTTTTCTAATGCGTCATTATAAATTGGAGCAGCCTTTTGGAATATTTCTTCGCTTGAAGAATTGGAAAATAACCTATGTCCAATTGAGATTGGTAATTGTTTTAAAATGCTTGGTGGATGGTTGGAATTAGCATGGATATAATTTAACGTACTATCAGGTTTATGGTAAGGTTGAAAAGTGTTGTTATTAAGGTTAAATGTAACATCAAGGTAATTAACAATTTTCATATTAGATTGAATGGAAATACTGAGGTTGTTTTGTTTAAATATTTGAGTAAAATGCTTCTTAATTTTTTCCATTTTTGGACCGCTTGCGTTTTTAAATACAGCTAAGCCATCGTCTCTATATAATCCAAAATCAGTTTTATTATAAAATTGCAAAATCTGAAAAAGAAGAAAAATACCAACTAATTCGCACACCTCCGCTCCATCAAATGCACCCATGGTAACATCAAACAAACCGCCTGATTTTTTAATCCAAACTTGGTTATGCACGTGGAGGGTTAAAGATTTATGATCAGCATCAATGGAAACGTATTGTTCTGCAAATTTTATGGAATCGATAAGTAGGTTTTCATTAATAGAAGGATAAAAGTCAACGATGTCGAAAATAAGGAATTTATAAAAATGTTTGTTATTGGTGTTAATATATGTAATTATGATGTTGCATAAAAGGTAAAAAAAAAAAAATGAATGTATATACATATATATATATATATATATATATATATATATATATATATATATATATATATATATATATATATATATATATATATATATATATACATATATACATATATACATATATATATATATATATATATATATATATATATATATATATATATATATATATATATATATATATATATTTAAAATTTTTAAAAATACATTTTAATATATGTATATATATATGTTTTGGTTTATTTTATTTGAAACTCTTTCAAATAAAATATTCATCCAACCATTCGTCTTTTGAGGCCAAAAAGAAATCAACCCAGTTTTGGATACCCTCTTTTAAAATTAAGCTTCTAGTGAGTGCATTCTGCATCAATGAAAACAAATAGGACTCACACAGGGCAAAGTGTGGACTATATGGCAGATAAAGCAAAATTTCTCATCCACTATTTTCCATTTAGTTTTTAACTAGTCTTGCAACATGTGGCAGTGCGCTGTCATGATGGAAAATGATGGTCTTGTGTCTGATCCCATATTCTGGCATGTTTTTTGTTGGTTGCTATCTTCAAACAGATAAATTGTGTTCAGTAGAGGTCTACTGTAACCCTCTGGCCCAATTTCAACAGCTCATAAAACTATAAAACTTTCTGATCCCACCAAATACAGAGCATTATCTTGGCGTCATAAATATCTAGCTTTGGTTGCGATTGTCCTGGTGTGTCATGTTGGGCATGGTTTATCATAATGAATGCACTTTTTGATGCTAATAATAATTAGATTCAAAAACAACTTCTTTTGCACTTTCAAGCAGCATTTCTGACATGCTGCTTGAAAGTGCTTATTTTAATTAAAAATTATCTTTCAATTTTTTTCGGTTTTAATTTATGTGGCACCTGATTTGCTTGCTTTTTAAACCCATGGAAATAGATTGTTGTGTAACTTATAACAATTTTAAAACTGCTTTCTGCGTTTGACAACAATCTTTATTGATTAATGCTTCCATTTCCTTATATTCAAACTTTTGTGGCTGAACGTTAATTGTTATTATTAAAATCACCATTTTCAAAATATTTCACCCAATTGGTTTTAGAATAAGCATGCTTGCTATAAACTTCCACAAGAGTTTAGTGACTTCTGTTTTTGATAAAAATTAACTAAAAATTCTTGTGGAAAAAAAAAAATTACTGTATACTCATTGTTTTCACATGTCTAAACTAATGAAAAAACTATCCAATGAAAAAAACTATACAATGAAAAAAAGTTGATAATATAATCACAAGTAGAGCCATCTGATGATGATCATGATGATGATGATCATGATGATGATGAACATGTTAATCACAATGATGTTTACATATGCATAAATATACAAAATATAACCTGAATTTTGAATAAGGCCCCGGGCCCAGTCAACTATCGACCCCTGTCGCTTACTACTTACCACGTCCCATTTCAAATTAGATTATCAAAAGCCAAATGTTAAAAACCTTATGAGTACTGAATTCACAGTCTTTGTTTAAATTACAAACAATAATAAAAAATTAAGTCACAAATGCGTATCACCAGATCAAAATATACAAGTAAACTGAAAATAGTTATTGATGAAGTTAATTCTATTTGTTACCGCAACTACCGCATATTAAGTATTATGCATTTTATGTTTTATCAAATGTACCGCAATTTAATTATGCTATATTAAAATCTAAAATGTTGTTTGTAACAATTATATATGTGTGGATACAAAATATGCGCAGCAAAAATTTGTTTACAGGTTTGCAAAATATTGGATTAGAACATGATGATTTTATTTTCTTCACTGTAATTTATTTGGCGAAAATGCAGAATATTAGGCTGTATACTTTAAGTAGACCTTATTTGTTGTTTAGACTATAATATTTGAAATATTGAATGACGTAATAAATAGTAATTTTAAATTAAGATATACTATTAAAACTTCAATTTTATATTGTTAATGCTGTTGGTTATGTCTGGTGCTGGAAATAGACTGCTATAGCCTCTTATACTGGTCACCTACAGCATCTTGCTTTTTTTTTTTTTTTTTTTTTACGTAGTGAAAAAAAAAAGCACGATACTGTAGAAAACACTTGCGCACATTGCCAAATTGTTTTGTTGAGTTTTATTTTCTCAAATTTCATCAATAGAACTATGATTTAATAAAATAATGCAATTATTTGCAACTCTGTCTATTTTTTAACCATAGTTTGCCCAAAAATCTACCATTTATAAATAAGGTATTTGTTTGCGTTAATTGTTCGGTTTATTTAACTTTGTAAAAAAAATAAACGAACAAAAATCAATAATTGTATCAGCTTTAGAAAATATTACGGCTTTTTTAATGAAATTGGTAAAACGTATTGTTTTAATATTTCGTAAATTATTCTCGTAAAAAATATTTATTTTCGGGTTGTTGATAATCTCTTTTTTCTTTTTAGGCGACTCCGACATTTTCATTTCTAGGTTCTTCTGAAGACAATGAAGACAAGGATAAAGATGTAACAGATTTATGTGTTATATCAGAAGCAAAGCAATTGAATTTTAAGAAAGCTTTTGAAATGGATGAAAATGCAGAAGATGATGAATTAGAACTCTTACCTCAGCATAAAAACCTTTCTAACAAAAATGAACGTTTCTTCTTTACAACCGATGATGAAAGATTCAAATTAGGTGGCGTTTTGAGTTTTTTGTTGATTTTCATTAAGTTATCAAATATTTTATAAGTTTTGTATAAATTATGTAAATATTATAATGATAAAAAGTTTGCTTGAAGCTTGAAATTGCTGATATAATTTATGCAGGAAAATCTTTTGTTCGATCGTCTTCAGTCGAAGAGGTTACTGAGCAATGGATGGGTATTCGCTGTAAGTTACATGAGGTTAGTTTAATATAGTTGTTTTATTTTCTTTATGGTTTATAGTTTTGTTTTGTTATTAATTGTAAATAACTATTTTATAGACTTACAAAAAGAATCACAAAGACGCACGTAGAAGAAAGTTTAAAAATCAAAAAAGAAATTAGTTTATAATAGATATAATAAATTTTTTTTATAATAAGCTGCATTTGTACTTATGTGTGTACTTTCTTAGCATTTTTAATCGGAAGTATTTTGTACTGTAAGTTTGAGAGCACCAATTTAAGTACCATTGAGGTACCGGCGTTTGGTTTTTTGGCGTTTTGGTATCACTAATTATGGGTAATAAAAAGTTATTTTATAATATTCAATAACATTTAATAATATATTTTTTGTCTTATATATTTATTTTTACAAATTACTAAGTAAATAAATTAATAATTGAGGCAAACATTTTAGAAAGTATTTAAAAAGTCCCCTAAATAATTAGAAATCAGTTACAAAAAAAAGCCGTCAAAAAAAGATCTCGGGAAAACTATTCCATATTTTAAATATAATTTGAGTTTTCTTGTGAGAATTTGAACTTTTTGAATTTGAACTTTTTTTTTTTTCTTAGCATTTTTAATCGGAAGTATTTTGTACTGTAAGTTTGAGAGCACCAATTTAAGTACCATTGAGGTACCGGCGTTTGGTTCAGCCCCGGTCGTATCACTAATTATGGGTAATAAAAAGTTATTTTATAATATTCAATAACATTTAATAATATACTTTTTGTCTTATTTATTTTTACAAATTACTAAATAAATAAATTAATAATTGAGGCAAAAAAGTCCCCTAAATAATTAGAAATCAGTTACAAAAAAAAGCCGTCAAAAAAAGATCTCGGGAAAACTATTCCATATTTTAAATATAATTTGAGTTTTCTTGTGAGAATTTGAACTTTTTGTCCATTTATGATTTTCTTTCTATGTTTCCCAGCTCTAAAATATGTAATTAAAAAGTTATAAATTTTGAAGACAAAACATCTTATCTATTATATATCTATCTATTAAGATTGAGTAACAATCTGATTTAATGTTGTAACAGTTAAAATTTATTTTATTGGTTTTTACAATAAGTAGTGTGTCAAAACAATGTTTTTTTCCCGCTTGAACTCCGTTAAACGATTAGCAAAGGAATCTTTTTTTGATACTTCTCGATGATTTTACATTGTAAACATAAAGTTTTTATTATTAAATGTTATAGTTTTTTGATTTTAAAAAACGTTGACTTGTCAACCTAAATATTGAGGTTGTAAAAATAAGCTTTGAGTAGCAAAATAGAATTCCGAGTACTCGAAAACATTTTACGAAAAAAATGTTTTCATATGTATTAGGCATTTGTATGTACACGGAAGTAAACCAAATATTAAAAAGAACTGAGATTATCCCAATAGACTTGGGTATAATTTATTCCACATCTTTTAAATGTTTTAGTTCGAATTTTAAAAGCTATATTAGTGAAGTAAACCTTGCACTATATTAGACTTCAAAGAAAATACTTTAACAAGTTCACCAAATGAAAATAAAATGTATTTAAACAAGCTAAAATCTTTATGAACCAGTTTTCATTTTTAAATATAGATTGCACAAAAAAGTCTTCATTCGTGCATATTTCGCTAGTTTCTTTAAAAGCTTTTGATACCTTGCCTTTTGTGAAATTAACTGTTTGATTTTTAGTTTTCGCAGTCCATCTACTATTTCCATACGAAAGGTTTTATTGGTTCAAGCTTCTTGCACAGAAAGATTTCGTATTGAAAAAGAGCACTTTGCTTCAATCATTTTGTATTGTCTTAATGCACTACCCATCAGTGCTACCCATCAGGACTACCCATCAGTGCTACAAGCAGTTATGCCGTTTAGGATTTATAACAAGATCACAATTTCTAGCAGTTAAATTTTACTTTGACTATTTAGTAAACAGTTTTAAAATGTTTTTATTGATAATTCATAAATATATTTAAAGATTTCCTAATAACAATTTTTAAAATTAATAACAACAAATTAATTTCAGCAAAAGATTTGAGTAATATCTTCATTTTTAATACTCCACTGACATGCTTGTGATTGTAAGCATCACAGTTTCTTATTAGCTTTTTTAACCATTTTTTAAAAAGTTGGAGGAACATTGTTCTTACAGGTTATAATTGTACAAAAATTCGATAAATTGAGTTTTTTTTATTTTGTTCTTCAAACCATTTTTGTTTTTGTACTGATCTTTAGTTTTTGATTTAATTTGAACTATTTTTTCAACATTGATTAACAAGAGATAAGTTAACAAGCTTTAATTTTTCTTAGTCAAATTAAATTGAATTAAACGGTACAGACAATATGAACATTTTTTCCATTATAACTAAGTTATAATGGAAAAAATACTGTCTCAGATACTATATAAGTAAATATATGTTGATGTGTTATTTTAGGTAGAGATGTTGTCTTTTGACCATTAATCTTTAGAGATTATTTTGTTTCATCACTATTAAATTTCTCGTTTGTAATTAGATAAAAATATTGCATTTAGTGGAACCTTGCTAGAGCCTTTAAAAAAGTTAGAACCAGCAGGAATATTTATAGAGTTAATTATATATTCTATTACTAATATACTTGTAACTTGTACTAATATACTAGTATACTTGTAAAATATACTTCAAACAAGCTTCTTTAACGAAAACCAACTAAAACTACATTGAAATATTTGTTTATACTACAATGCAGTTGTTCTCCTGCAAAAATAAAAAGATTTGTAATAGATTTAAATATTGTCGTAAATATAATTAATTATAAAAGAAAAAACTATTACCTATCTAAAAGCAAGCCACGAGTTAAATAAAAAATAAACTGCGAGTTTTTGATTTTTCTGTATATACAAACACCATAATGCATTGCGTGAAATGATAATAGGGGGAAAGGCAAACTGACAGAATCGTATAAAAAATGCCCTCTTTGTTAACCAAAAGTCTTAATTATACACCTCTATCTTTTATTTACTTTATTAAGTAATGAATTGAGATGATTCTTACTTTTGAGATTTTTTGGTAACTTTAATTTCTTAGTAAATCTTTATTAAATTGATTTCATAAAATTAGTATTAAAGCTTTGGGATTGGCTAATGGAAGGTTCTATTTTTTAAAATTATTCGAATACACGCAGTATTTGAAAAAGTTAATTTATCAGACTGGGTTGTTGCCAGTTGTTTTTATCAATTTAAATCTCTTTTTCTTTTTTATTAATTTTTTTAGTAAACAAAAATTTTATTTTTTGTTTGGCTTCATATTAACAGTTTGAATGAAACTATACTTTAGGGGTGGGAATTTTTATTTTTTTCAAACTGAAAAAAAATTTAGATGTAAACATTCAAAAATTCCTCTGTGCAAATCCATTTTAAAACTTTATCGAAAACTATAATATTTGTTTAGAAAACTCGTATAACTGTTATCTGTTGATCATTTTTAAATTATTTCTATTTTTAAAGAAGGGGACAAATCGATTATAAGTAACTATCGCCCTATTTCTGTACTTTCCACCTTTTCAAAAATTTTAGAAAGAATTATATATAACAGAGAATACAAATATTTTCATGTTAATAAATTACTTAACATTAATCAATTCGGTTTTAAAAAGGATAGCTCAACTGAACATGCAATTATCCAATTTGTACAGGAAATCTCAAAATCATTTGAAAAATCACAATATACTCTAGGACTTTTTATTGATCTATCAAAAGCTTTTGATACGGTTGACCACCAAATTCTAATTCATAAACTTAAACACTATGGAAAAAAAAAATTAAGTGTTAAAATGGTTTGAAAGCTATTTGTCAAATCGTAAACAATTTGTTTCGAGTAATGACGGTTATCACACCAATTGTCTTTCTATAACATGTGGAGTCCCACAAGGCTCAATTCTTGGTCCACTCCTTTTTCTAATTTATATTAATGATTTAAATAAAGCCTCTAAACTAACAAGTATTATGTTTGCAGATGATACTAACTTATTTCTTACTAACAGTGATATCTTTGAACTTTTTAAAACAATGAACAAAGAGCTTATACATGTATCGAGTTGGTTTAAATGTAATAAGTTAACTCTAAATTCTAATAAAACAAAGTGGACTTTATTCCATTCGCTTTCCAAAAAACGATATTTGCCATTAAACTTACCTAAAATTTTTATTGATCAAAATGAAATAAAAAGGGATTCCGTAACAAAATTTTTAGGTATTTACCTTGATAAAAACATCACTTGGAATCATCATATTGACTACATAAGCACTAAAATTTCAAAAAACATAGGAGTTTTATATTAAGCACGAATCTACCTCAATAAGAAAATTTTAATCAAACTTTATTATTCATTTATACACAGTTATTTAAGTTATGCTAATATCGCCTGGGGTAGTACAGAAAAAAGTAAGTTGCAACGTCTTTATCACCGTCAGAAACATGCTATCTGTTTAATCTGCTTTGCAAATCGCTTTTCTCACGCAAAACATTATTTTATTGAAATGAGAATTTTAAATATATACGAGCTAAATATATAATGTTTTATGCTTTGTATACATGTGGAAAAATGACTTGTCTTAATCTGTTTTCAAAGATATTTTTACTCCGAAACCCATCAACAAATACAATTTGAGAAATACTGATTTTTTAAATGAACCTTTCTGTCAAACGAACTTTAATCAATTTTGTATTGTCTATCGGGCACCACAACTTTGTAATAAAATTGTTTTGCCCAATTTTGATTTCGAACTACCCATTACTTTTCGTTTTTTTAAAAGTAAATTAAAAACCCTAATTTTTTCATTAGAAGACGTATTATGTTAATATTAATAATATAAATTAATAACTTTGCCTTTTCTTATTTATATTTGTAAAAAGTTTATTCTTACTTATTTTGTTGATTTTATATTCTTTACCTCACGTATACGTTTATATAAAATATTGGTGAGTAGATCCGCGTGATCTCTCTTTGGATTATATAATATATATTTGGATTATATATATATGAAATTTGTAAAAATTTGATACTGTTAATGCTTGTTTGAACTTATTTAAGGTTCTGACGACAAGATCCTTTGATCTTCTTTCAGATACCTTATTTTATATTTGTGAAAGTTTATTATTATTATCATTATTTTTATTTTATTTTTTTTTGGCAATATATAGTTGTAATACGACCAACAAATGTAAAATTAAAAAAAAAA